CTTTCTTCTTAGGGCAGAGAGAAATAACTGGCCCAAAGTCACCCAGCTGGCTTTGTGCCTAAGGCAGGACTAGAACTCATAGTCATCTGGTTTCTAGATTGGTGCCTTCAAGGACTACACCAAACTGGGTCTCACTAAAGTCTTATAATGTTATAAAATAAAACTATTTCACTGGGGAAAAAAAACAAAGAAATCACATTTCAAACATACTTCTTAAATAGGAGCTTGGTTATTTTTGCACAGCAGTTAGAAGCCAGAACACTGTTCCATTCACGTAGCATAAAGTCCCCCCTTTCTTTATGGTGTGCAATTATTTTTACTTGCCAAAGTCAGGAATATTTTTTTAAATCTGGGCATCAGACATAACACTGTTCCTTGGCTTAAGTCAGCTTCTCTTAAACTGCTCTTAAATTCCTGCTGTTTGCAAAACACAGGCAGGCTGTAAATTGTTTTTGGCACTCTCTCCCAATGCAGCTACACTGAGCACTCTCTCTCATTTCTAACCTGGTGCTTGATGCTTTTAAACCTCTCCCCCATTCTTGCAATTCCACTCTCACTGCAGTTTCACAGCCCTTCCTCCCTTTCCCTCAGTTTGTAATTCCTTCTGCAGAGAGAGAAACAGATCAGATGGTCAGAGGTTTGCATACTTCTCCTTTGAAAGACAAAGGCAAACTAAAAAAAACAGTAACACAAACACTCAGGCTTCAATCAGGGCTCTGGAAACATTGCTTTGAATTCATCATATTTTTGCGTCAAACTGGGTAAGTTCCCTTGAGCTGATTTGCCAGAAAAGCCCACTCATGTATACCTCCCATCCATTATCTTGTGACTATGGGATGGGGGTGGGGGAGTGGGGAGGAGGAGCCCATGTTGAAAATCACTGCAGTAATCTACATGCCATTGGAGAGAAATGAGAAAAGCAATTTCAAAGGGCACATATTTGAATTCCTGTGATTTTTAAAAGAAATGTGCCAATTCATAAGAAATGGAGACAGGATGTGAAATTGTCATGGACCATCAATAATCTAATCATCATCCTGAAATATATGTGATGCTCTAGCAAGTGATAAAAGGGGGAGGGAAGAGAGAGGAAGGGAAGAAATAGTTATAGACCAAAAGTGGTTTCTAGTTTTTCCTTTTTCCACAAAAGAAATGTTTGAGTTTAGCTTTTTAAAAAGTGTTCTGGTCACAAGTCTGATTGCTCCTTATTTAGGCTGGCACCTGAAAATATGAAAACAGCAAATATGTATATCATTCAGGCATGCTTACTGAGAGCCATGACTAGCTGCAGCTTCCTACTGAAGTGACAGTTCTAGATTTCCCTCTGCATCAGGTACGAAGTGACATAATTAATTTCTGGTTCAGATGCCCATATTTATGCATGCTTAATGGCTACTGAAATAGATGACTATAAGAGCACACGACTGGGCAGAGGATCACAGCCAAAGAGAACATATTCATCTTAACGTTTTGCAAATCCCACTCACTGCACAAGGGCAGTTTGGCCAGAGTCTCACACAGAGGAAAATACATTGCCTAGAACTGGAAGCCAAGATTTTAATAGGAATCAAGGGGCCATTATATGCAAGCAAGCAAACAAACAAATGTTGAGCTAATATGTTAGTTCAGTTGCTCTTAGGCAGCAGTGCTGAAATTATGTGGTTGTTGAGTTATTCAACTGGCTTACCATGATACTGCAGATCCAATTACAGATCTGAAGCACTGCTATTTCTCTGTGATATCTTGCATGGATGGCTGATTAAATCCAAGGCCTTTTAATACTTTCAAAACTTCTGTGTTCCTATTGTGCTTTCAGAATGGCTGACTGTTCTGCATCCCTTTATATTCCATGCCTGTCTCACTCTTGACATCAGCAGGTGTTCTTCAGGCATTTCTCTCTTTTTAGCTTTTATGGCCTTTGTAGTTGCTATTTTATATATGCCAGCAGTTTTACTCACACCTGAAATGCTGCACAAATGGAAGAAAGGAGGGAGGGAGGAAGGGGAGGGAAGGCTAGCAAACAAGCCCAAAACAATAATTACTTTTACTTTTTGAAGTAAGTCCAGTGCTGCTGCCTTCAGCCTATTTATGTATGATGGAGTTTAGAAGTTGCCTTTTCTTTGAGGGCAGTCTCAAGCCCTAAGCCTCTTGAAATATAAGAGGGCAAAAGAAGCAGGTAGATTGCCAAAGTCAGTGCTGCAGTATGAAGATGTCAAGAATTGCTAATTTCCCACTATTCATGTCCATAGACCCTAAATTCCCCACCTGATAATCACACCAATTATCCATAATTCAGTCTGATCATTCTTAGCCAACATGGCCATTAGCTATAGTAGCTGTGAATAATAGGACTTATATTTCAATACATTTAGAGAGCACCAAGTTGGGGAAGACATTTCCACATAGGAGAGGTCTACCAATATTGCCACTCTTTTGCTACTGCTAGGTCTCTGAACAAGACTATAGTGAACTTAATCCCTATAGTTCAGGATATGTATCATTCTAACAGTAGATGTCTACTTATGTGCACCATCATTCACTAACAGCCCTCCTCTATGATGGTGACTTTGCCTGTCTTCTGCCATCTCCATTTCATTTTCCAGCTGTAGATGAAATGGAGCTGTCGAAAACTCCATGCATATCACCTGGGATGTGCTGCAAACCGCTTTTGTATAGACCAAATTGACAGGCTAAAGTCATATTGAATGTAACTATCAGAGCTTCCAATACAGAGTGTAGTACAGCTTTGTATAGCTGTGGTAAGCCTATGCCTGCATAAGAGGGGACCCATGGAAGGCATTCTAAACTTAGACCTGTCTGTTCATAGGAATCATAATTTTAAACCTTTAATCCAAAGGAGCTATGGCACTTGAATATCTCAAGCCTTTCCTCTGAAGAGTTCAGATTGGCATTTGTGGTATATGTTCTCCCCCCCCCCGCCCTTTATCATCATCACCATCTGCTAAGAGGAAGAATATTACTTTTAAAATTTAATCACAGTTGTTCCTGAACAAACTGCTTTACTCTGCTTTTCAGTTAGATTGTAACATCTCTTTCCTCTACACCCTATTTTTACAGAATCGTTTTACAAATACTAAAAAATCCAAGAAATAAGGTCCATTACAAACTATAATGAAAAGTAAGTCAACCAATCTAAGCCCAAATCGTAATCTTTTGAACATATAGTAGACTTGAATGTTTATTTGCCCAGTTAAGTGAAATAGTTCAAGGTTGCTAGCTTTTTCAAATAGATACCTTCTGGCTTGACATTGTCTTCATGTTCTTCAAAACAACAGCTGCCTCTAGTGTTAAATGCATATAATTACAATGAGAAAAATCTTACATTTAAGGAAAGCAGAACTGAAAATGAATATATGACGATTACCATTTGTAATAAATAAGTCAGTAAAGGTCCATCACATTTTACTTTAGAAAAGCATAAGGCTGCATGACTCTACATTGACTCTTTATAATGTAATGGGTGATTCAGTCTAGTGTAGCTAAATGTAAGCCCCACAAAAATCAATGTAATCCAAATACTTAAGACTCTTCCAATATATAATGTGCAAATATCCAACAAAAGATATACATGAATGCTTTACAGAGATATTTTTCTTGTTTTTAATGGGGTTATGTGTTTAATGTTGCTAAGCCCACCTAATTTTCTTTTCATTTTGCTATTATGCATGAGTTGTGAATCTTCCCTATTATTAGTGTTATTAGTATTACATTCCTTCCACGGGCTTGTTTAGAAGCGTCAACTATTATCTAATTGTCCCCTTTTGGACTGCATTAGATGATCAAACAGTGTGAATAGAATGAAAGCAGATACGGTAACACTTTTTTAAAGTACCCATATATACTTGTGGATAAGCCCATCCTTGGATAAGCCAATCCTCAAATTTTTAAACAAAATACCATGAAAAATGTGCCACTTGCAGCTAAGTCAATTGTGAAAATTAAAATGTATATAAACTTCGAGGATCAGCTTATCTGCAGGTGCACATTTTTCATGGTATTTTGGTTAAAAATTTGAGGGTCGGCTTATCCAAAAGTATTTATTTATTTTGATAAAGATTCCTTCACTGAACTACCTTCCTCTTATTGCTGATTGTGCTGCATCTTGTTTTAGGAATTGGGAATATTAGGAACTGGGAATAACTAGGATCTTTCTAAATATTATGTAGTACTTAGCAAATTTAAGCTGAGGGCTAAGTATTATGAATGAAAAAGTAATGGAGATAGGGTAAAGCAAGGCAAGATTTTGCTAAAGAAATAAGTCTTGAAGAAAGAACCCATGAAAGATTTCACCTGAGAACTTATGGAGAGGCTGCCCAATGCATAGAACTGCAATGGCTTTCAAAACTGGAATAAGAAGACAAGGAGGCAACTGTGTGCTCATCAGTGATCAATATTCAGACTCAGCATAGGAGTATTATGTAAGAAGTGTGAAAATGAAAGGGAGGTTTAAGGCAGAGAAGCAGAGTAGCGACTTGAGATTTTGCTGTGATCCCTGAGAGGGAGATCATACAATGACTTTCTGCACAGTTATAATTGAAACTTTAGTTCAATATGTCTGGAAGATATCAGACAGAGGAACGCTGTATGATGATATTGGAATACTAGATGAATCAGAATGTTGGTGCTGCTATAGTTTCTATTTTTGCAGCTCTTTTGATACTGGGAGACTTCTCTATTGTTTTAATTAAAATTCAGACAAGCTATTTGTTCATCACTTTATGTACTTTAAATCTCTATTATCATATATACGTTTAATATTTCAAAAGCAGATTTATATGCCATGGATTCTCTTCATATTATTCTCTATGTAACCAGGTAGAAAATCAAAAAGCGATAACATGAATGAGAATGCATACATTACAGAAGACCAATTGGCAAAAATTGCAGAAGCCTACAACTACTTGTATACATAAAATAAATGAACACAAGGCTTTAAGGCATTAAAATACCATATGGGCAAATACAGCAATTTACAAATATGTAAAACCAGAAACACAATTCAGGCATTTAATAGTAGATTTTATTATATTGGAAAAAAGCACCATATTACTTTTATATAAAAGTATGAAATCTTATTCTGTTACAGAAACTGATGTGACAACTCCCAAACTACAAATGTGATGCTGAAACCATATTTTGGTGAGCAGAGTAGGTTTTCTAATATCTTTTACAAAACACTAGAGCTGAAGAAACAAGAAGACCACCTCATGTCTGATAACATAAATTAGTTCATACCCTCCCCTCCCCGCCCCCAATTGTGCACAGGCAGAATTGAACTTCCAATGGATGTTCCATAATAATAGCTTTATGGCTGGGCTCTTGCCATAATCTCTTGATTATTCACAGAGATGAAAATCTCTTGGCCATTTGAGAAGTCTTACATCATTTTTTCATAAGCTTACATCAATTTTTCAAACAAGTACACACCACAAGCAATATTTTATCCAAATATGTTCATAACACTACAGCAATATTTGATAAAGATCTCTGTTTAAAAAAAAACTATCCACACTCCACAATATTCACCATGCACGATTTTTACACCTAATCCATCTAAATTGATCGTTTGTCTCTGTCTTGCCTTTGTTTCACTAAACAAAGTGATGCAAATCAGGGTCCTCTGCTTTTCTAGGTTATATGTAAAAATGATTTACAGAAGGATACATAGAAATATCATCCTGCATTTACAAATACATCCCCCTGCCAAGCTAATGCCTGCACAATCTGTTTTGCTTCAGAAACAGAAACAAACATTAAGAAAATTAAGCTAAATATTGTGAGATGAATATTGTTTTCTTAAACAATCTATTAAACAGATGAGTGTTACTGCCAACAACTCCAATTTCCTAGGTGTCATTACTATTACAGCTTGCCAACCACTTCTGCTATAAACTTAATGATAGATTCCTTTAAAAATCACGTTTCTTCAACATTTGCTAGAGCAAGAGGGATTTCACATCTATCACAAATTTAGACTTACACTATCTTAACTTTCTGGATTATGGGTCACCTATATGTTTGGCTTGTCACATTTTTTTTCCAAGAAGGAAGGAAGGAAACTAAACAGATGTTTTAGAGCTCACCCCGCCCCCCAACATTACTTTATATGAACTGGGCCAATTCAGATGGCTGCAAGAGAAAGTAACAATCTTATTTCATTAGTAAATGTGACCTCATAGCATACAGACAGACCTGCATACAGTAGGAGGTGATGATAAAATGAATTGCACTACTTCAGATACGTAATAAGCTTTTCTGGAAAGGTTAAAAGATTCATGCAACGGTTTGTGGGGGGAACAACAGTCAACAACTGACCAAACTAGACCCTCACAGTTTAATTTTGAATTCACAAGGTGGGTGCCTGTTTTTTTTAAGGCGAGATTTAACTGTATTATTCCACATGTGTAGTCTGAAGCAGTAGGCAATTAATTACACCACTGTTGAACACGCGGCTTCAGCCAAACATCAGTATTAGAGAAAAGTTGCTCATTGTGGTATCATGTTGCCCTTTGAGGATTTATCACATTTTTCACAAGGGCCAGGTCAGATGTTACATACAGATAGCAATTCTCAACCTACTTTTCTAACTGTGCATCTTTTTGTCCCAAATTACCATCTACTCAAGTTGACAGTTTCCCCTGGGTGCTTTTCATTAAACACTTATAACTGCTATCAAATGACATTGCCCTCAACATTGGCCACTTAACATTAATGATAATAATTAAGAACATATTACCTGAGAAAAAAAGACTGACGTTATAAATGAGGTTACTGCAGACACTTCAAAATAGTCACTAGTACTGAAGCTGTCATTTCTATCATAGCAACACTGAGAACCTGATGACTCTGTCATTTCATCACTGCAATACCAGAAATGAAAGAATATTTCAAAAGATGACATTATGAACAACACTAAGAAAACAAGCATCATTTATTAAAATGCTTGGCAATTGGCAGAAAGTTTAAGTAGTCTGTCCTTGGCTGCAATGCAAAAGCTGTACCTGGGTTCCTATTTTCTAATGCAAATACTGCATAAGAACACAAATACGGACTTTTGAATCTCTGGGTATTTCATAGGTTTCTCACATAGTTTTCAACTGCAACAATCACATAGTCTCATTATAGGGTTTTTTAAATAAAATATCTTCCACATTACAATTTCTTGTACATTTGTGAATAGTGCCATCAATAAAATAACTGAGCACATACAAGAATTTAAGTTTCTGGGTTGACATGACAAAAACAATTCACATCAATGCATTATTTTGCTATAACTCAAGAACAGACAACCCACCAGCCTTAATTTTACAGTTTCTAATGGCAAGCAAAAGAAGTAAGGTGCACTGAAACTTTTTTAGGCTTAGCACACTGAAAATTGGGAAAAAATGTAATAAAGTCTCTGCTTATTTTCATGATATGAAAGATACCAGTGCCCCATTTGCTGCAATCTTTCTCTCACAAAAATAAAAACTGTACTACACCAGCCATCAAAAGTTTGTCCACTCAATACTATAACTGGAAATGATCAACAATTGGTAGAAAAGATTTCTGTTGCAAAATACTTCTAGGACTAGTTATAACATTCCTCCTAATAAGAATTTTAAAATAACTTCATCTAAGCTGATTTTCAAATTATCTAACAAAATTTAAAACAAAAAACAAACAGGGATCATGCATTTGTGACTGTGGTTGCATTTTCCCTTTTCTCTTTGAAAGCATTCTCAAAAATCAGGAGGAATCTCATTCAACTAGCTTTGCTATTCTACTTGGATTCAGCACAAGGACCATCCTCTGATGGTAGGGAGGGGACACTATCGTGAGAAACAGTATCAATGCTTTGTGCTTCTGACTGAAGATGGACTGATACCTCCACAGCTATTTCTTTGCCATGGTCATTCACAGAACCATCATCTGAATCTCCTGCTGGTGAATTACTGCGCTTTATTTCTGGGTTTAAGGGATAGAGTCCCCCTTGGGCACCAAGTGCCTGGGTCTGTTTAACTCCAACTTCATCAGGGTCGTCAACATGGACTGCTTCAAATATTTCTTCCATAAAGGCCCTGCAGTTAAGGATTAGAGGTGGTAGAGGGATACTCCTGGCAAGTTCTTCAATGTACCGGGCAAATTCCATAGTTTTAAACTGGGTGACTTTGGCCAGCTCTAGAGTTTTAGCAGAGGTAATAATAGGAATGCGTTTGGCTATTTCAAACGCCTTCTGTAGCTTCTCAGCCCCTTCAGTCCTGAAGAACTCATTGATGGCTTTCTCTGTCTTACGAAGATGGCTGCTCATCATGCACAGACGTGTAATATTCAGGATTAGGATGATAGTAAAAGCAACTAGGCAGACAATCATGTAATAAATGCCCATGTCTCCAGATGTGGAGACAACTCTGAGAGTGACTGAATAATAAGAAGTGCCATTTTCATTTGTGACAATGCAAGTATATCGTCCCCGATCACCAAAGATTACACTTGTGATATTAAGGATATTGTCAGAGATCACCAGCCTTCCATCTAAAGACACAAATAGAAAGGAATGTTAGTGTTGTAGGATCAAATTATGTTTTTATATTTTCTCAGGTTAGCGTGCACAAGAGATGGGGCCATTTCTTTTGTGGTTCCATCTCTCAATACATATATGCCCACAACTTCTGTTTAATTATTTATAAATAGGTTTTAAATACTCTTTTATTCTAATCTGTCTTTAATTGCTGGAGCTGTTCTGAATTTTAAAAACTGTTGTTCCTCATATTCTACAACAAACATAAATCACATGAAGTTTAGCAGGAAGAACTAAATATTCCAAACCAGATTTTCTACAATTCCCTTTTATTTTGGATTAATATTATCTATTTATTTTCCCTTTTATCCGTATCAAAATATTATCTAATTATGAATATTTTCACTGCAATTGTAGTTAAATCCTCCAGATAGTAAGAGCAGACAACAGCTGCTAACAGAAAGTGGACAGTTGGACAAAACATTTTAATGCCTGCATGCATTAAAGTTTCTAATTCAGAGAAAGGGACTTTCTCATCCAGAGTCCAATTAATAGTCAAAACAGTGATCTTTAAAAGATACATTAAATCAATGCAGCAACTTTGGTCTAAGCTTCTAATTGTCTTGAAAACTCTGTCTATGCAATATAACCTTAATTCCTACAGATGGAGTTCAAATAACTAGATTCAGGATCTGACTGGGGTTTCTTCCACTTGTTTTTCTCTACAGACACAACTCTGTTGCTGAAAATCCAATCTTCCTTGTAGTTGCTGTAAAATTCGGATGAACAGTCCTTTAAAGGGGACTGTCTCAGAAAATGCTACTGTTCAGAAAGGCATTCACAGATGTGCCTCCAGGTTCTTTTCATCCCCAAATTCCAAGTGATTATAGTGTTAAAGCAACTTGACTGAACGACCTATTTATTACAAGATGATTAAATAGATATAACTGGATTCTTAACTGTGCAAACAATAGTTGCCCAATGTTGTAATTTAAGAGAGATGTGTACTACATTTTAATATAGGTATCTTTAAGCTCTGTGATGGCATATCTGACATTTTTTTCGTCATGCTTTTTATGGAATGTGACAAAGAAGAAAACCTCAATGATAATTATATAGTGAGTCAAGCTTATTGTAACATTAGACAGACAGGTGTGTCTTACCTCTTCCACCTTGCTCCAGAAGATGCCCTTTTGAGTTGTACCACAGTATGGTGTCCTGCTGGCTAATGTTCAAATTACATTCAATGAAAGCACAGTTACCTTCTTTTGCTATGATATCCTGAGGAACAGGAGATTTTGTCAAGGCTTGAAAGATAGGGAGAAGTGATATGTTGAGAGGCAGGGACCTTGATCCCACTGTAAATGTCAGGTTGGAAGCAACATTTTCTTGAGCAAAAACACTAATATTAAGAACCAGAGTCAAAAGGCAGCAGCTGAACTTCATGGAAGCTTAAAATTAAGTGCTTCTTTCGTTGAACTTAACTACTGAAGAAAGTTAACACTGAAACAATACGCATTATGTTGATCACCAGAGAAGATATTGATTGATGCATCAACCATTGTCTTTGAAGATGCCTAAAAAGCAAGTACATGGAAAATCCAACTAAAATTCCTTCTGTTTGTGGAAGAATCAAAGTTTAGCAGCATTTTCTCTCACTGAAGATTATTTATTCTTAATACCCCATAATGGAGAGAAGCACCTCCAGAATTTTCTCAGTCTTTGAATCCTACACTTTTCCTAATATATATTGAACTATAAAATTACATTAGTAAAGCAAAATCCACAAGCTTCAATCATAAAATAGAGTTTTCAAACAGAACAGCTTATTAAAGTTAGTGAAGCCTAAAACATCTGGCAAATTTCTGTGATTTTTTCAGGTATGTTATATGAAACTTTATGACTGAAAAAATATATAGCTGTTCTACAGATTCAATCATTTCATCAATATTAAGGAATTTCTGTCCATAATTTAACTCAGGATTAGGAACATTTATATCCACTGAAATCAATGGCCCAAAGCACACCAAATTGTCTGGACTGTGGCTCCATATTTTAATAAAGTAGCAAGAAAATGTCTTAATTTAGAAAAATCAAAGGATATGTACATACTCATACACACACATGTACATACAGTTTGAAAAATCAAAGGATATGTACATACTCATACACACACATGTACATACAGTGGGGCAAAAAAGTATTTAGTCAGCCACCAATTGTGCAAGTTCTCCCACTTAAAAAGATGAGAGAGGCCTGTAATTTTCATCATAGGTATACCTCAACTATGAGAGACAAAATGAGAAAAAAAATCCAGAAAATCACATTGTCTGATTTTTAAAGAATTTATTTGCAAATCATGGTGGAAAATAAGTACTTGGTCACTACATACTCATACACACACATGTACATACAGTGGGGCAAAAAAGTATTTAGTCAGCCACCAATTGTGCAAGTTCTCCCACTTAAAAAGATGAGAGAGGCCTGTAATTTTCATCATAGGTATACCTCAACTATGAGAGACAAAATGAGAAAAAAAATCCAGAAAATCACATTGTCTGATTTTTAAAGAATTTATTTGCAAATCATGGTGGAAAATAAGTACTTGGTCACTACATACTCATACACACACATGTACATACAGTGGGGCAAAAAAGTATTTAGTCAGCCACCAATTGTGCAAGTTCTCCCACTTAAAAAGATGAGAGAGGCCTGTAATTTTCATCATAGGTATACCTCAACTATGAGAGACAAAATGAGAAAAAAAATCCAGAAAATCACATTGTCTGATTTTTAAAGAATTTATTTGCAAATCATGGTGGAAAATAAGTACTTGGTCACTACATACTCATACACACACATGTACATACAGTGGGGCAAAAAAGTATTTAGTCAGCCACCAATTGTGCAAGTTCTCCCACTTAAAAAGATGAGAGAGGCCTGTAATTTTCATCATAGGTATACCTCAACTATGAGAGACAAAATGAGAAAAAAAATCCAGAAAATCACATTGTCTGATTTTTAAAGAATTTATTTGCAAATCATGGTGGAAAATAAGTACTTGGTCACTACATACTCATACACACACATGTACATACAGTGGGGCAAAAAAGTATTTAGTCAGCCACCAATTGTGCAAGTTCTCCCACTTAAAAAGATGAGAGAGGCCTGTAATTTTCATCATAGGTATACCTCAACTATGAGAGACAAAATGAGAAAAAAAATCCAGAAAATCACATTGTCTGATTTTTAAAGAATTTATTTGCAAATCATGGTGGAAAATAAGTATTTGTGACCAAGTACTTATTTTCCACCATGATTTGCAAATAAATTCTTTAAAAATCAGACAATGTGATTTTCTGGATTTTTTTTCTCATTTTGTCTCTCATAGTTGAGGTATACCTATGATGAAAATTACAGGCCTCTCTCATCTTTTTAAGTGGGAGAACTTGCACAATTGGTGGCTGACTAAATACTTTTTTGCCCCACTGTATGAAATAACATCTTGCACAATTAGTACTTTCTGTGACACAATTTTGCAAGCATAAATCGGCTTTGGACACTTTTTCTCAACTACCATAGGAAGATCTACCACCTCTTAGAAAGGAGATGGCAGCACAGTGTGTTCCAGGGAAAGTATTAGATAAAAAAAAAACTTTCTATTTTTTTGGCATAGTTCTAGAACAGGGGAATAAAACAGACTTGGAGTTGGATTAAAAAAAACAAATTCCATTAACAACAAAGCCTTTCCCCATTTTCCCTGCCTGGGCTTCCTTGGCAGTATATCTGCCATGACTTCTCCCCTGCTCAACTCCATAGAATGTTAACATATTCCTTAAATGTTTTGAGGAAAAAAATAACACAGCTCAAAAAATATAATACAAATATAGCTTTTAATTATATTTTATCATTTGCTAAATAGAAATGAAAGATAAGTTAACAGACCTGGTAACTGATCTCACTCTGAAATAACTGTAATAGTAAAAGGGGAAAGATTTATATGATCTGAAGAGAAACCAGATCTAACACTGGAAGAGGGATGCAGTTCTGACAATATCTTATTAGGAACATGGACTTGGAGTGCATGCAGCGATGTCAAAACTAACAGTATATATACACAATAGAAGTTTAACTAAATTTAAGCAAGAATGGTTCCCATAAATACAACACAATACACATCATGGCAAATATAATCACTTATAGTCTGGCTTCTAAGGAGGCTTAAATGTCTACAAAAATTCCAAATTGGCAGATGTATAAAAAGGGGAAAGTCAGAAACCCAATTGTTCTTTTTTTGTTTTCCTTTTCTCTACTTTTTAAAAAATTCTTCTTAAATTTGTTTTGTTTATTTTTCCTTTCATTAACATGTAAAATATATATGTATACTAAGTAACAAAACAGTGGAGACTTTAATAGTAAGTAATCGGTTTAAAAAACCGTTATCATACAACAAATACTTTGATGTGAGTCACAGTGGTTTTTTTCAAGGTTATACTCAACTTTGGATGAAAAAGCCAAATAATTTTATGCTTGTAATATTGACATTTTAAATTGTAATTAATATTGATGGAATACTTATTTTTTTTCTTCTCTATTTTCAATACTCTAAGCTATCTAAATAATAGAATGTCAATAATCTTTAATTATATTATATAAACATCAATGTACTGTAACAAAACAAAAAAAAACTAATATGGCTGTGCAAAGCATCTGAAAGAGGTGCTTTGCAAAGCGGGTTAGCATGATTAAGAACACCCTATTCTTGAGTCCTGATGAGTGGAGGAATATCACAATTATGTAATCAAAATGATTACACAAATGTGGAGGTGTATCAACAGAAAAATTCAACGTGTTTCTTACTGAAGCAATTGATACAGCTGGAAATGCACATATCAGTATTTACGGGTAGCAATAAAAGCTCTAACAAAAAATCAAAAGAATTTTGCAAAATAAGAAGATATTAAAAGAAAGTGAATTAATCCCCAAATTAGTAGCATACAGTTGCAATGCTCATTTAGTGCACTTTCTGGCAAAATACTTCACTGCTCCAGAAAGGAAGGCTAATGTAGTACACACTGAAATGTGCAATAATCTCTTTACAGCATCTGCTTTAAAGAAAGCAGGGGAACCATATTAACTCTCCCACAAAATGTCTAATGGAACACATTAGTGACTTGTTTCAGTGCTATATCACAAATTGACCTATTCTGATGGCAATTTCTAAAAATCGTGAAGAAGTTGATGCAACTATTGGGGCCAAAGTTCTCAGTTACTGGGCTAAAAAGAAACATTGAATTTCTGATATCTATCCTCAAGCCTATTTCTGTGCAGAATAACCAGTATTTCTGATGCTACCATCTCTAGTGACATTTTCCTGACAATATTCTCAGCAGCGGGTCAGTCCTTTTCTCATATGATGCTGGAGTTACTAATTTTAAGAACTATCAGTATTTCATAAACTTCTCCCCCAGAGTTTTTACTGATATTATTTTCGTAAAACATCATAGAATCTATCAGAGGTGATATTTAGTCCCTTATTTATAACTGAGAAAATATCCAGTTTTCAAAAGCTTGAGATAATTACATGTAGCAATTGCATATGCTCCTAAGTTACAGGACAGAGTTTGCATAATACACAGCAGTAGTTCTGAATGTCATTGAATTTTGCAATTAAATCCTTTCATGTTTTATCTATTAAACTGCTCACCTTGGCTTTTCATTCAAATCCATTTGTAGAAAGAACAAACATTTTCCTGAACTTTGGAGGTAAAAGGATATTACATTTTTATGACGGAGTTATTATACATAAAACAGCTACTAAAGATGAGATGGAAAAATGAAAAGACATAATGTCCTATATCCAAGAAAAAAAATCCATAAGTATCACAAAAACATGAGGAACCTCCAACCCCTAGGCCAAATATAACCATTTCAGGATTCTTATCTAGTCTACCAGATTCATGCTCAGACTTCTTCCTTCATCTAGGCAATCTCCTTAGCATTTATCAAGCATGTTTTCTTTCTTATGGCCTAGAGTGTAATTTTTTTTTGTCTCCAATTAGGAACAAGTCCTAGATAAGAGCTTATATAGCAATGCTTGAGCCAGCCACCACTAAAATCACTATATGAGGTAGGACTAGAGCTTGAGAAGGGAAGAAAGGGCTAATTTCCATTCCCAATGCTGTGACCTCCTTCAAAAGTAACCACCTCCTTGCATGACAAACAGGCTTTTATGTACTCTCCACTAAAGTAAATGCAGTCTATTTTAAAACCTAATTTAAAATCCACACATCTTATATAGTATTTTGTCATTGTTCACTGACTTCTGACTCTTCATGACCATATGGACATCATGCTGCCATGATTATCAGTAACTGCATTCTAGAGTTCTTGTAAGCATATGCTTGTGCCATCAGAGATAATACCTAATGTCTTCTGTTAACCTTTTTTATTACCTTTGATCTTTCCAATGATTCTTGACTTCACATGTATAAGTTAAATAAATAGACAGTATATAGCCGTGGCATATTCCTTTCTTAATTCTGAACTGTTTACACCCACATTAAAAGCTATCCACAAGTTGTGGTCTGTACTATCAAGTATTCCTCAGCATTTTTTGCTATCAGGATCTTTCCCAGTGCCTTGATCAATGCTGTTTTCCATATCTGCTTACTGCATCCTTCACTATTACATCATTTTGTAAGATAAAACAGTTTTGCTGGTATTTCATCAACTCCTGAGGTTTTATTGTTAGCTATCTTTTCTAGGGCCCATTGAACTCCCCCATTCAGAATGCCTGGCTCTAGTTCATTGATTTGGAGATTTTTTTCTGGTTTTCTTCCAAATATTCATACCTTGTCTTCTTCTTCTTCTCCAGGAGATTATGACCACTTTTGCGTTAAAGATTCACTTAATATCTGCAAATTTTTAAAAACAGAACTTCTGAAAAGACAATATTTATGTTTATGGCTGACTGGAAACCCCATAGGGACTTTTTGTTTCTGTTACTCCAATTGCTATGCTAGAATTCCAGTCTCCTATAATTCATATGATAGCCTTTCCTTGGTGTTGTGTTAACAAAGTGTTACAAATTCAAAATCTGCTTCCCTTGCATCTGTGATTGGAACACAGACTTTGATTCCCATAATACTGATTCTCTCTCCTTGAATTCAAAGTGAAATCATTTGGTCATTTTCTAGGTAACATTCAAAAACTGACTTTGATCCTCTTTTATTTTGAAAGATGGCTACTCCATTTCTTTTTTGGCTTTTTTTGTCCATAATAGAAAATCTGATGGTCCTTTGATGTGAATTTCAGTACATTTCATTTCACTGATTCCCAGACTGTTAAAGTTTAGTCTTGATATACACTATCTACCCAAAATCAATTGATTCTTGACCAAAAGAGGTTTCCCAGTAATAAGCAGTTATTACTGAACATTAAGTTTCAACATTTAGCCTTTATACTAGGAGAAAAGCAAACAAGTATATGTACATATATCTAGTATGCCCAATTTCATTCATATCTGCATACTTAAGAATAAACAGACACAGTGCAAGATTTTTAGAATTATAAAAGTATAGAAGGAAACCTAGGCTAGAGTTTCTAAGTATTATCAATTTATTACTGTCTAAAAAGATCACAGAGAAACAAAATCCAGAATAGCTTAATATGATACCACAGTGGAGGGATACTACAAATATTGTTATAGGCAGTAAGGGACATGCTCAGTAGTTTCAATCTGCCCAACACTGTACGTGGGATACTTATTTCCTGGTTTAGCCCTCTATCCTGGGATTTCTGGTGGTCTCCCATCCAAATATTAATCAAGTCTGACTCTGGAGGACACACTGATTTAAAGGTCTATAAGTTCTCTTACATATACAGAACACTCCTATGTAAACATATCCATTATTTTTGTTCTGACAACAGGGAATTGTATGCAGAGTTTTATTTTTAAATGAAACTCCAATATTAAAACAGTTCTGAAATGTTGAATTTCATAGAAACATAGGATTGGTTGGTATCTTGGAGATCTTCTAATCTAACCTTCTACCCAGGCAGGAATCCTCAAACCATCCCAAACAAATGAAGACTTCCAGCGATGGAGCCCACATGATTTCAGAAGAGAGGCTGTTTTTCTGTTTAATAGCTTTTACATCAGGAAATTCCTCCTTATTTCAAATTCAGGTCTCTCTCTGTAAAGCTTCCAGTTACTGACTCTCATCCTCTAGCATTACAGAGAATAAATCCACACCCCCTTTTCTGTGACAGCTATTTAACCCAGCAATTTGCTGGATTTAAATTCCATAAAGGAAATCTTTAGATTAAAAAATGTCAGGAATCATAACTACAAGAAACAATGATCTTATCTATGGTAAGGAAATGTAAAATTGGCCTATACAGCCTGGCAAAACTTAGCACTTTCTGACCATATAACATAACATTATGGCAGCATGGAAAATTTGTTGGTATCTGATTGCTGGTAAGACTTAACTATGAACAATAATGTAAACATAAAATTATTTCTAATTTTATCATTATAGCTTATGGCTATGTGTTGGTGAACAACTGATATAAAGATAATGATTAATTGAAAAACATACTTTTCACTTAACCTTTGAATTAAATGAAAAATATCACTGAAGGTCACAAATAAGTGCATGAAGTAACCAGGAGTTGAGCCTGACTTTACATTTTACATCCCGCCTCCAAAAGCCTCTTAAGAATTACTAGCTACAATTACTAAGATTCTTATCTGCTTCACAACATCAGCTTACATCTTAACTAATGCAACTATTCTGGCAATACAACATAGCCAAACAACTCTGGAGTCTGATTCAGCAAAGATATCAGAGGGTACCCACATTTCATTTTACTGAAAAAATCCAGAGCTAGGCACAGACCATATTTAGGGGAAACAAGGTGTGTGTGTGGGGTGGTGGTGGTGGTGGAATAAGGATGCATATACTCCTGAAATCTCTGGTGTCCAATTTTTGGAATGCTTGTTTTCTCTATATAGACCCCTTCTCTGGACGTCCTTCTGAATTTATTCATTTATTTATTTGGGGTGGCTTCAAGCCACCTGGTGACTGCCTGGACAAGTCCCTGCGGTTTTCTTGGCAAGGTTTTTCGGAAGTGGTTTGCCATTGCCTCCTTCCTAGGGTGAGGGAGAGCGACTGACTCAAGATCACCCAGCTGGCTTCGTGCCTAAGGCGGGACTAGAATTCAGAGTCTCCCGGTTTCTGGCCTGATGCCTTACGCCAAACTGGCTCCATCCTTCTGAGTACTACTGTGATTATCGTTACTCCACCGAGAGGCAGGGTGTGGGTGCCTCAAGTTACAGCCGCCTGGAAAATCCTGGCATCTGTGGCCCCAGCTCATCCCGACAGCCACAGACCGAGGAAGACAGCCCCACGCTGTCCCCGCACAGGGGCGAGCTCCTTCTCCGGCCCTGCTGAGTGGGCTAGTACCGTATCTACACTCTCTCTCCGACACACGGGCGGGGCAGTAACAGCCTGGCCTGTGCCTCCACGGCGCAACTCCATCGCACTCCTGCGGGCAATTTTCCCACCAACACTGAGCTCCGCGGCGCAAAGGCTCCTATCACGACATCCTGACTGCGCCAATGACGTCATCCCTTCCCCTCACATCGCACTTGATCGCCCCTGCCTACAGAGGGGCGTCGGCTTCTCTTCCCGGGCCCCACGCCCATTACTGCCCTCCAAAAGGCCCACCGCGAAGACAACTAGTCCTACCTCTCCAAGTACCAGCCGGTCGGTAACTTTTCCTGCAAATGCGTCACGTCCGGTAATGAAAAGAGCGAGTTTACTCGACTTCCGGGGCCGTGGCGCTCTTTCCTCCTCTCTCTATGGTGGAGGTGATTCGGCGTGTTGGGGGCCGTCGAGACGTGGCTGTTTCGGGTGAGAGATTTCCGTGGAGAAAAGAAAAAAGGAGGGCTGGTTGGAGCTTGTTCGTCTGCGAGCAGAGCCCGGAGAGGGCAGTCCCTACGCTTCGAGTTTCATGCTGTTATTTATATTTTATACAAGGTGTATTTCTATTACTTGGACGTGCCTTTTTATGTCTTCGCTGTTTTGCTCTGGCTAGGAACATTTATTCCCCTAGCTTCAGTTAGTGTTGATGCCAGTTACAATCCACGCCAGTGGGTGGAATAAATCTTCCCTTCAGGATGTGGTCTTTCTGATTGGGTGTATTCCTACTCCCCCTCCTTTACTGCTTGCCAGACTGTTGGTCTCTGGTCGTCTTGGGCTACAATTCCCAGGAAGGCAGTGGGCTGCTGGCCGGGGAGGATGGTAGTTGCAGTCTTTGGTGTTTGAAGGCTGCTGGGCTGAAGAAAGTTGATTTGCTGGAGTGTGTGTGTGTAAGACGTCTGTATTTACTTGCCCTACCCACAGATTCTCAGAGGACCCTTTTGTTTTAGATCTTGATCTTTCCCTTTCTCCTCTTCCCCCAAACCCACCACATAAAATGTTTTGGTGATCTGACAGAAGTAGCTGAGCTTGGACTGGAAATCACAGTTTGGCTGGAGTCCATCCTCTAAATTCAGGTTGGTGTTTCTGTTCTTTCTCGTATCAAAGATTACATCCTGAACAAAGTGGCTTTTATATCTTACACTGCCCTTTACTTACTCCTACTCCTTACTCCTTACTTACTCCTACTTCTTTCTCCTCCTTCCTCTTCGATAGCCACATTTCCTCCCTTCTCCACATCATTTTTCCCCCCTTTTCCTGTCTGTCTTAGATAAAGTAGTATCACTAAAGTCTCTGCACATTATGTAACACTGATGTAATACTCTTAAATATCAACAGTTGGCTGAAAGGTGGGGTATCACTAAATGTGCATAAGAACAGCACAAGTCTGGAAAATAAGATAGGTGTCATGCTGTGCTGGGAAGATTACCTGAAGGGAACACAAAGAAATGTGAGGGATGGTTGAGGGACACCAGCTTAATGTATTATCTTTTATTTTCTTTATAAAAAACGAATCTCTAAGATGATCTCATATGTTAACTTCTGACTTCTTTCCCACCCTTGTCATGTGTAATGTGGGTTGTATTAAGGCAACTTGGCATATCCCTTGGGATGATGTCATCATCCACATGTTGAATGAAAGCTGTATAGGACTTGCTCCAAGAGACATAGAATAGCTATCTATTACTTAAGTTATTCATACTCTTCCATTTTCATATAGTCAACACAAAATAACAAAACAAAGCCCAAGAGGGGCAGAATATGCAACAACAACAGCCCATATTAATTTAAAAATGCAGGAGGCTAACAGGGAGGGAACAAGATAGATCTCTTAATGAAAGAATTTTCAAAGTCTAAGTGAAGTAGAAGGGAAGAACATGTTTTGTTCCATGCAAATAATTGTTTTATTATTTATTTATTTATTTTAAATAAATGTATTTAAATAAACTTTGAATCAATAGCAGAACTTATTTAGCTGAACTAAATAAGCAAAATAATGGTAAACATTATCTAAGATACTTTGGTCCTAAATCATATAATACTGTAAAATTATAACCAATATTTTGAATAGGACCTTGAAAGAAATATGAAGCCTTTGCTGTTGTTTCAGCAGTATAATTATGTGCTTTTGGAACCCAATTTTGGCTTAATAGCTTTCTTGCCATCATGGGCTGAAACCTCTGGGCATTTAAAAGAAACATTTAGAACTGCTACTGTAGGATAAATTGGACATTTCTAGCCACAGGTGCACATGGTGTACAGGATCAAAACTGGGAAGAATAATTATATCTAATATGACTTATCTGTTCACAATACTCTTGGTTTTATGAGTGTGTAGAGTTTAAGAATTGCTGTCATATGGGAAGCTCTATTTATGTTTCCATTGAGGTTATTTGTGTTATTAAAAACACATCTGCTACAAAATGCATAATTAATGTGTTATGTTATCTGATTGCTTTGCAATCAATTTCAAAGCCATTCTAATTATTAATTTATATGTATGCCAAACAAAGGACTTATTATTATTTCTCCCCTACCTGCTGGCTTAAAGGAGGTAAAACTAGTTAGGTATTTAAGAATGGAATTATGAATCTAGAAAGTCTCAGTAAAAGGGTTGTATTTTCCCAATGGAATTGAAATAACCAATAATTATTCTAATAAGCCTATTATTTATGCCTCAAAGGGCAATTTAGAGTAATATTTATCTAACCATTGTGCTTGGAACTGTACAACTACTGCTTGAGTTGTAGCCCTGTACAAACCATTGAATCAGAGATGCTTGCTTCTGAGTAAACATGCATAAGATTGTATTGTGTATGTGCTTTAATATTTATAATTGCTTTCTCAGTTATCTGATGTTTAGATTGTGTGGAAAGTAGTTCATTAGTAAGTAATGAACTACTTTCTATCAACCTCATTTTGCAGGTGAATTGCGATATGGGTTTTCTGGAAAATTTTCTGCTATCTCCAAACTCAGATCTCATCTTGCATGTTTAGTAGTATGTAAAATGTTTTACTGTGCTGATGTGCTTTTTCAAATAGTCAAAAGGACTCAATTAAGTTAAACAATATGTCACATTAAGCTAATATAAATATTTATAATAATTATTTATAAAACTAGGATATGCTTTGGTCATGTCCCAAATGGAAAATGAATCTCTGAGAGAAGATGTATGTGAAGCTGATGAAAATGTGCAGAAGACAACGGACGCAGAACTGACCAAGAATAATGGAGTGGAAGCTGAGCCTACGTTCATGACCCAGAAAAGACCAGAAACCAAATTCACTGAGCTCAATGCAGCACAAGAGCCACAGGTGCAAAATATACTAGTATTTATGCTAAAATCTGCCAGTAAATTCCCATTTTATCTCAAAATATTCACTCTTCATTATCTTCCAAAGCAAAACTTGGGTGGTGGGGAGGCTACAAAAGTCAGTGATTCTAATTCTGCAATTTAAACAGAATCTATAAATTTCAGTCTGCATTGGACTGATCTCTGTCTGAGTTCTTAAGAAAGATAAACATATCATATGCAACCAAATTAATTACATGATGATGTATTGTTATCTTAAGACCCTAAATCAGAATAAGTAATAAAGGTGAATTATGTATCCTTACTTTTTCCATCATTAATTTGCTTGCACAGGTGACTATAACTGCTGAAACACAGAAATAAACATGCAACATATTTTCTTATACTTGACCAAATTGATTCACATGAGATGAAGAGTTGCATTAACACAGTATAGTTAACAAATGAAAATGTTTTTTCTCATAGTACTGATAAATTTGAGGACTGTATATAACTATATCTTTAATATAATATTTTTGTAAATAATGTTTCTTATATTAATACAATTTCCTTTCATTTGGAATGGAACTTACTATTTTTTATTTGAATTCCTATCAGATCTTTCCCCACTAAGCATCCAAGTTTACTAACAGGAAGAAAACCCTCATACAATGCTATTGAAAGTGTGTACTGTAAAATAGAGAGGATTTAAAAATGTATTCTTTATTTTCTTCCCTATGTTGATTACCTTTGCTAGAAATTAGTTTTAATAATTTGGTTATTAAAAAAAGGAATAAGTGAATATCTGCTTACCTTGCTCTCTTTCACTCAGGTCTCAGGTTCCACTGAGAAGACACAAACAGGATGGGGATATTGGGGAAACTGGGGAAAATCATTGCTTTCAAGTGCTTCTGCTACAATGGCTACTGTTGGTAAGAATAGCTAAAACGTAGCAGTGCCATAGAACTCGCATTACAAATCAAATGAAGTATCTTTTCTAGTTTTTTCTTTCTTTCAGAAGTTAATGGTGGCAAACACAAAATACTTTATGAAAAGTAAAGAAAAATATTGAGCAAGATCAAAAGATTTTTTTAAAAAGTATGTATTTATATAACAATAAATATATCTTGTCCTTCTGATCACTCAACCAACTCAAATGTACATAGCTTTTACAAGCTGTTAAAGGTTTATATGTTATTTCTAACTGAGAATATAAAGAAATAAGCTAATGGCTAAACTGAGCAAAACATTAGAATAATGCATCCTATTGACTTTTATTTGGTTTGCTTGGGGAATTCAGGCAGATCTAGAGAAGGCCCCAGCCTTTCTGTCATCAGCAAACAATAGATACATTGTCACACAGCTAGAAACACCCAGCCATAGGAAAGCTTTCTCTCTTGCCCAGTGTCATGCTCTCCCCTCTGCAGTACTGGAGGGCAAATATAAAATTGTGCAGCTGTGGTTCGGGAGAGGTGCAAACCACGGAATATATTCTTCTTTGTTGCTCGTTTTATAGAGACATTTGAACCAGATTTATCCTCCCTCTGATCAGTTATCCTGATTGCTCAGACTTGGCCTATGCCCAGATGCTGCTGACAAATGACCTGCCATTTATTACAGTGCACGTGGCTAGGTTTTGTGCAGCAGTATGTAAGATCTGCTGGACCTGGATAGGCCAAGCTGCTGCTCCACATATGTATTTTATGTAATTTTAGATATTACCAAATTTTATGTAACTTCAGATAGTATCACACTCCAGGTAAATTTTAGATATCATCTAAATTTTATAAATATAAAATTATAAATTTTAGATGCCACATTTTATGTATTTTATGTAATTTTGGATATTATCAAATTTTATGCAACTTCAGATATCACACTCTATGTAAATTTTAGATATATTTTTGTAATTTTACAAATTGTCATATTTTATGTAATTTTAGATATTATCTCATTTATAGCCTAGACATAGATTGCTCCTTTTGGCTCTTACCCATGGGTCCTAGTCAGGTTATTTTACAGATGTATTTTAATTTTGTCTCAAATTTTATTTACTGGCTTAAGATAGATTTGTAGGTGCTTACTGATCACTCATGAACACACTTCTTGTACTGGACTAAGACTGTTAATAAAATAATCTCTGCCAAAAAAAAAAAAACTCTCTCTCTGCATCCTACTGACTTTTATTTCGCTTGCTTGGGAAATTCATCTTATTTTTTCCTTAGGGTTAAAATTATCTCTCTGCTTTCTCTAGGTCATGGAATCTCAAATGTCATTGAAAAAGCAGAGACATCCCTAGGGATCCCCAATCCTAGTGACTTATCGTCTGAGGCCAAAGATGCAATAAAAGGTCAGATTTTATCTTAGCAAATAAAATATTTAAATATTATTATTTATATATCATGAAGTTTGCTACTTGAGGTGCTGGTGAAAGAAGGTGCTGTATTAGCGGCATTACTTCTAATCTGAAGTAATTTGTGCTCTATTACAGACAAACTGAGCATCAGGTTGTCATATTACTGCCAAATAATGAGACTTACAAATAATGGTGTTGCTTGTGTCTTAGAACTCTGTATATCCTGGAGGAAAAGAACCTGCAATCTTCGTATTACTTTATTCTGGCAATAAAATTTATGCCTTGCATTTGGACAAACCTTCGCTTTTGTGTGGTGTGAAGATAGTGGAGTTTTAATTTTTGAAACCAGTTTAGATAGAAATACATGTTTATAACTGACAGCATGAGCTACTGGTTAGATTCAGAGAGTTGCTATCTTAGTTTCATATGCCCACAGAGGGCTTAGGACAATTTGAAATGTTCAAAGGCATTCTTGAAACCAAATAGCTCTGAACAATGCAAGGTCCGGTTTCTGTTCATAGTGCAAATATATAATACTTAAATGAATGCTTTTGTTTCAGAAAGCCAAGAATCTGAAGAAGTGAGTGATGGCAAGGAAGAGACTGAAAATCTCTCACCTATCAGTGGTGCATTTGGAATGTTTTCTACCATTTCTTCTGCGGTTCAGAGCACAGTGAGTGAGAATGAAAGAGTTATGTTAACATTTGTCTTATTTTGATCTTGCTGTGCTCTCAGTTCATGCTGTCAGCCCTTCAAGGTAGACCAGATCAGGAAACAGATTTCCCAGAAAGACTGGAACTATACTTTATTGAGATTGGCTATAATAACAAGATCTTGCAAGTCTGCCTGCATTGTTCCTTCCCTCTTATACCCCTGAGAGTTGGGGGTGGGGGCTCGTTTGAGTCTCTTTGTAACATTCTCCCGCTTCACTGGACTTAGCATGTGTTTCTTCGGTACCTGGCATTTCCTTCTCCAACTTCCAACCTTCTCCCTGGCTCTCTAGAGGTTCATTACATAGTCAATCAGGGGTGCAGTTCTTTTTTACTCTTTGTGATCTCTAATTTGTTTATTGTCAGTAAGTTATTTGTGGCCTGTTTAGGATTCCTGAATTACAAGCTTTTTCCTATCATAAAGGATTAGACTAATCATGGGCATTTGGCAAATTCTTCAACTGACATTTGAAATTTAATTGGACTAGAGTGAAAGGGGTATATAAACTTAATAGTCTATGAATTTCACTAACAGTTAGTCAAGTTGCTGAGCTTTACAACTTGGTTTGGAATAAAAATGTAATGTATTTACAAAGCACTAGTATTTGAATGTTATTATTTCATGTTTAGTTGTTTTATAACTTGCTTTTCTGAATAGAAATTCTCATAAAGCAAAATACAACATACCTTAAAATGCAAAGATATACTGAAGACATAATCAGAAATCATTAAAATATAGAATGAGATAAAATACTAATTAAAAGTAGCCAATTTATATATTTTTCATATTTTTAAACCCCCTCCCCACCTTCCTAGATGACTCAGGGTAGCATACAAATTGGAAATCAAAGAAATAATACAACGTCAGACAACAGAAAAGACACCAGTGAACCCAGTGGAAAAAAACAGAAGAACCTCTCACAAAGGGAGTCTACAACCTACCTTAGCCCAAAACCTGGGGAATAAGCTAGGTCCTCAAGGCTCATTTTAAGGAAAGCAGGGTTGGGAACATTTGCATCTCTGGGAGAATGCTGTTCCAGGGGGTAGGTATCATAGTAGAGAAGGCATGCTTTATGGATCCTATCAGATGGCATCGTTTAATAGATGGGATCCGTAGCATGACAACTCTGCCTGATCTTACAGGATGGGAAGAAAGAATGGGAGAGAGATGGCCCCTCAAATTACTAGGCCCTACACTGTGTACAAAACTGCTGAGTTCTGTACCAGCTGAAGCTTCTGGGTGGTCTTCAAGGCATAGTGTTAGGGTTAGGGTTAACCCTAACCCTCATGTAGAGTGCATTGCAGTACAGTAGGGTAATCAAGACATGTTGCTATTTCCTAAAGAAAATGTTCTTTGCTGGACTGATCTGAAGTAAGTCAGACTAAAGCTGAGTGTTGGTATGCTCATAGAACATTTGTTTAAACACAGCCAGTTCAAACATTATAAATGCATGCTTTGGAAAATTCTTGCTTTCTGCATTCCACTGTCAGGATAGTTTCACCATTTATTTGTGTTCTGGCTTGCAACCTTGCTTCCTAAGGAAAATGATATAAATCCATCCTGTACTTTGAACCTTTGGCTTCCAGAAGTTCCAGCATGCATTTATATCTCTGTCATAAAATCTTGTCATTCTTTCAAAGTGATATCTGAGTTTCTCTTAAAAAGTGCAAATCCATTTTTTTTAGGGGAAGACAGTTATAAGTGGAAGTTTGGATGCATTAGAATACATTGGGAAAAAGACTATGGATGTGATAGCTGAAGGTGACCCTGGATTTAGGAAAACGAAAGGTTTGATGAGCAGAAATTCCACACTATCTCAGGTATGGATTTCCCACACAAAACCTGGGAATGATTTCTTTCTGGATCCTCTTACTAACAAATTATCAATCAACAAAATAGTTCATGGCAGAGCACAAATTTCTACGCTTCTGCCTTTTTTCTCTCCATGCTTTTCTAATGCTGTTATCACACTTCACCTTTTTTATTTGTAGGTCTTACGAGAGGCAAAGGAGAGAGAACAACTGAGGGCAGCTACTGAGGTTTCCATGACTACAGAAAAGAAAGCACATTATGGACTGCTTTTTGATGAGTTTCAGGGTCTTTCTCATTTGGAAGCCTTAGAGATGCTTTCCAGGGAGAGTGAATCAAAGGTAAATGACCTTAAGCTTTTTTTTTTTTTTTTGCAATTGAGGAGGAATAAGAATAGGGATCTATATAAACTCTGAGAGATAAATCCATTTACAGATTCCTTGCAGCACCAGTAAATAAAAGCCAATCAAAGCAGGAGAAAAGGCTTTTTCCTATAGTACCTGTTCCTCCTCTCTGCCTTAGGTAGGGCAGTGTGTTTTTAAGTAAGTGCTTTCTCAGGCTTTGTTATTCTGACTGGGATAGTCCAAAGAAAATCAGTTTCATTGTATGATATGATGGGAACACAAGTATATGGAAACTCTCTGCTCTTTGCTCCCCTTTTCAAAGGAAGTATTTTTTTATTACTCAGTCTATTTTTGATGCTGATGCTGTATTTCTCATATCAGATGTAAAGCTAGCAGGTCTACAGTTCTCATTGTATTTTTCAATCAGGTGAAATCTGTTATAAATACACTTTCTGGGGAGGAGTTTGATACTTTAAAGGCAGAGCTGGAAAAGCTTAAAGAAGCATTTTCATTAGCTGAATTTGATGATGATGAAGATGAAGATGAAAATGAAGAAAAGAGAGGTAATTATGGGGATCCAACCCTTGGATACTAGCTGTGCATTAGTATATAAAGGCCTCTTGAAGTGACTGATTTAGTTTTCTAGCATTCAGTCATTAAAATAATGCTTATATTTTAGAGGCTCCAGCTTTTCAGTGGTCATGTGAAATAAATAAATAAAAGATATTAAGAGCTTCCGCATCTTTTAATGCTGTGCTCTTCTTAGTACTGGATAATTATCTAAATTTAAATGAATGACCAAATGACAGTATGGGACTTCCTTAACTAACATGATGTAGAGAGAAACTCAGTGGTGATAGTGGCTGACTGGAACCTTAGGGTGGAGACTTATATGGTTCCTGCTTCTATGGATCAGGCAGGTTGTATGTGAAGAAGAAGAAGAGAATGTAGATTGCTAGTATTACGTTGGTTGCACAGCTCTTGACATGAACTTGTTCCCTCTGGAAAACATCAAGAGACCCCTGTCTTTTGATCACAAAGTTTATTAAAGAGTGTGTGCATGTTCTGAAAGGTTATTAAAGAGTGTGTGCATGTTCTGAAGGACAGAGGTATGCCCCATCTAGGTAATCAAAAGCAACTAACAAGGCTATGTGTAATTTTGAAAATATACAATCTATTTCCTGTTGTCTTTAGAAGAAGATTTCACAAATGAAGTGGGTATACTCTTTTCACAACTGTGTGTCTCTCTAAAACCAGTGAAGTTGCTCCAAGTGAGTAAATACTTGTTTTTGGCTTTTAAGATTATGTATAGAGCTGTTCTGGAAGTAGCTTGGGCTTCTGAAATGTGGTAGTTTGTATTAGCTAAACTATCTTTTATATTGATGGCATATAACAGCAGTTGAAGGAATTTTGCAACTTAGAATATCAAATATTAGTACTCTTGTATTTTTCAACAATGTACATCCTTCAAGCTGGCTCTGTTAGTGTCCATATTTTTATAGCTTTTTAAAATATCCAGGATCTAAGCTAACTAAACTTAATTTCTGGGTATTGGCTTGTCATCTTTTAGGTTTTACAGTATATGGTAAAGTTTAAAAAGTAACTCAAGGCAATACACAAAGTAAAAAAAATTTCTACTTCAAAGTAATGGGTTAATAGAAATAGAGTGAGACAGAAAATACATTTTATTTTGAGTTTCAGACAAAACAGCTCCACATGAACTTTCATATGAATATTCTACTCTAGCTGTCCTGCAGTATCACAAAACTCAAAATGGTTCAAGTGTTTTGTACTGTGTCCTGAAAAAAACCAAAATATTTTGACTCCTATGATTGGAGTCAAATCAAACAATGGGAACTGAGGGCCAGCTCCCGCTGCCTTGTGTTTTACAAAAGGACCAGAGGAATAAGGGGGATTGTGGTTCATGCATCTGCGACCCCAAGCCACAAAGCAGCAGTACAGTTGTGGGGCTTAGGACCGTTGGAATATTTTAAATGGCAGTACTCAGAATAACCAGATTTTGTTCAGTCTTAAAGTAAAACTCCTGAAACATACGCTTTTTGTTTCAAGCTTAAACACTCAAAGCAGCCATTTCCAGTCAGAATATTTCAAGGTTAAAGACATACTTCCTTGCAGTAATGTGCAGAACCACTGGGTGGCACTGTTTTCCAGAATAGAATGAAAAAGCTCCAGTTTCTGGGATGTATTACAGTATGCCAACATATCGCATGGTGTTAATTGTTAAAGGGGGGGGGAGACCTTATTTTTAAAAGATTCACTTACTAAAAGCAATTCATCTTTTCTTGATTCGTAAATGTTTTCATTAATTCAAGCTATATATGTTTGTAGTAGGGGTATGCAGATTGGCTCCGATCTGTAATTGCCAATTCGGTTAGAATCATCAGATTGAAGCAGTTGAACAGTTCAATCTATATTGTCAGTTCAGTTTGGAGATTTGAGCTTTTTCTGTACCTCACCCATTCAAGATAAATCTGACTCAATTGCCATTCATTTTCTTTCTCTGATTATAAAAACAACAACCAGAATATATTCCTCTGGCTTGGAAAGTTTACATTGTACATACTGATATATAATCATCTTGTGCATACTTATATACGAGTATTACATGTTCATATAAACTGTTAGATGTACGAAATATCTTTAGCTTGGGTGAGATGGGGGAGTGGGGTTTCACTGGCCACAGGAACAGTGGTTGCTTTTACACCTTACACTTAGCCATGATGTTATTTATTTATTTTTGGCTTTGCTTGATGTACAAACCACACCCTAGGTTTGTGATTTGTAAGTTAATGGCTTAGCGTTAAATGTGAAGCCAGACCATGAGAATTATGTTAACCCAGTCGCTGCACTATACCCTTCCCCCAACAAGCAAGGAGAAAGAAAAACGGGGCTGAGCTGCTTCAGTCCTGAATGGGGAAGATTACAGACCTCAACATTATGCTGCAGCATTCAGATATGTAAGCTATTTTCCAGAACTTTATTCCACACCAGTATGACCAAACAACTGTAATGGGGTTGTGCAGATAGAAGCAGTTTTGATTTTCAGTGGCTTGAGGTGGGAAGGCAGGGAGCGATTCGTGTAAACCATGAATAGTGACCACTTACTTCTAAGGAGCTGTGTTGTGGTGGAGATACACTGCTTGTACTCTCCTCATGGATATGAGGTTAACTTGATATTTTGCTGCAGATTGTGAATGGAGAACATGAAGCCTTATAGATATTGCTATCTCCAGCATCTTTCCTCACTGGTCATGTTGGCTGGGGGATCCTGGTAGTTCAGCCATATCTGGAGGGTTAAATGTTCCCCCCCATATCTCTGTAAGGAAAATAATGTATTTCTTCAAAGAAATCAGTTTCCTTTTCATGTAGCTGACATTTTGTTATCACCACCACATGAGAACAATGATGGCTTACTGCTGGGATACTTTTACTTTTTCTGTGTGGAGTCTGGATAGGGGCATTCTTCTGATCAGCAATATGTTGATGTATCTCTCTTTACTCTTGGGCAGGCAAAGAACTCTGCTCATGAATTAATTAAAAACCTCAATATGCAAATGGTCAAAGAAGCAGGACAGCATGAAGGAGACCAGCAAGTGGGCTCAGGAGATACTGAACAAGAGAATAAAAAGTCAGTGGAGGTAATAATTTTAATCAAAAGAATGCTGCAGTACAATTTAAATGGATGCATCTATCTAAGAGCTACCATCATATTCCTTCATCCTTAAGCTATGATCTCCACATGAAGTCTTTGGGGTGGAATTGGATGTGAAACTAATGTCTTGACTTCCTCTTTTAAAGAAAGCAGACTGACATCTACTTCCAACTTCTGCAGGATATTCACATGATTGCAGTCAGAAGCCTGGCTGAGATGACAGCTTATTCCATTGAAATGTTCCACAAAACTGCAGCATTGGTTCTTCATGGGCAAAAAGAAGATGTGTTGGCCATAAACCGAGCTAAAACCCTTTCCCAGTAAGACTAATCACTCTTGACTTCTATATTTCTTTCCCTTCTCCTCAAAAATATAAAGACATTAACAAGTACCTGGTTCCTGCTAACTAATCTTGTTTTAGGACAGTGGAGTAAAAGCCCAAACAATCTCCTACTCAACTCTCACCTCTGTATGTCCATAGCTTGTTAACACAGTGCCACGGAAAGTCTCAGGCCCTTACAAGAGTTCCCATACTTCCTGCAGGTATTGTCCTTACTACCATGCTTACAGGCCGCCTTCTGTTTACTTATGGTTCTGAGAGGTTACAGAGTTCTTTCAACAGTTTGAATGTTTTCCTTCAGTTGAGCCTTCTTATTTCTCTTTATTTCTGTCTCCAAATTTTGATATGACAATCAAAATCTCCATGCCCTACTAATCTATCACTGGAAATTAAGAAATGAGTACACCCTCTACTCATTTAGTGACTCTGTTCACTTCCAATGACTTGGTCATTAAGTGAAATGGTCACTAAGTGAACATGTGACAGAATGAGAGAGGGAGACACTGCAAAGATCACTGGTTGCTGCCCTCTGATTCAGATAAACTTCTCTTATATGGTGTCCTGTGTCTGACCCATTCCCCCCCCTTTTTTTTTGCCCCTTGCAGGGTAGAGAGATTGCTTAAACAAGTTCTCTCTTCCTGAGCTGTTTTTCCCTGCAGAGCAGTGCTTCCCTGAAAAGTGCTCACTGCAAGTTAACAAGCTCAGCTCTGTGACCTTAATTAGTTGATTAGAACTCTCTGCCCCCCTGCCCTGCTGCCTGAAGCTGACCAGACCTTAATCAGTTTCACACTGAAGGCTTTTTTGTCAGGTGCATAAAATTTGGTTGTAAATGTGTGCATTGGTCAGAAAATGAATTTTTTTATTACTGTTTATTACTGTCATATTTGTGAACGGTCACTGAGGTAATCGCTAAATGAGGAGTGGTTATATATAGTTTTCTGATTGACAGAACTGGATGTTTGTGGATATATTCCCCCAACCCCCTTTCTGAGGAAGTGAAGTCTGACAAATTTTAAATGAATAGGTTCAGGTAGTTCTGTGCAATAACACATTTAAAAATTACCTGTCCCACAAGAAGATACATATGTCCCTTTGTTCTTTTCTATACAATTTGTATGAAAATAGTTTATATCGCAATGATCTTTTGTTGGAAATCTGCTAAATTTTGGGACAGGTGCAGGGCTTAAGCGCAGAATGAACAGCAGTACAAAGCTTTTATAATTTTGCTCAGTACCAGCCATGGGAGGATAATGGGTGAGATGCTTGTGGTGGCAGTGAGCATACAGCATCTTTCAAGGAAGCATTCGGTGCCATACCCTCTCAGGTCTCACTGGCATCAGTATTTTTAAAGCGATATTCTTGCTCCCGGGAGAGAGAAGTAATAAAGAGCACTAAATAATGCAACAATCTTGCACCATTCTTTTTTCAACATCTCTCCCAGAAAGTACATCAGTTTGATAACTCTGATAGAAGAATTTACTGTGATTAGAAGCTAAACTGTCCTCATCGCCTCTCTTCCTTCTGTCTTACATAAAGAGCTAAAGGAAATATTTGCAGGTTAATTGTCTGTGTCTCCAAATCCCTTCAAATCACCAGGGAAGTCTTAGAACTTGCTTTAGAATGGCTTGGTTTTCTAGTCATGTATTTTTCAAATCAGCTCTTTATGGCAAAATCCAAAGTATGTTCTCAGGCACACAACTTGCAAATTATTCAAGATATTTAGAGACTCACTGAAAGCTTGTAGATTTTCCTTAGTCCTATACCTGGTTAAAAAAAGCATTGAATAAAAGAAAATATAAAACTTATTTATGGTGTATTCTTTTTTAGAATGACCATCATGCTGTGCAAAGAATTATCATCTCTCTCTAAAGAATTTGCTACGTGCTTAACAGCTACAGGGGTAAGATGCTCTACAATGCCTAGTAGTGAAAGGCTTGTCATGAGAAAACAGAAAGTTCAAACTGCAGGATGCCTTTGCTATTTGCCATATTACTGTTCTTGTTTTACGCTATTATTAAAGAAGGGCATCCTGCAATTTTCCATAACTGCTACAATTAGTATAATGTTTTACTTTGCTTTCTTAGTAAAATATTAGAGTTTACCATTTTTAAAGGATTTTTTTTTCAGGTAAATCAGTAATGGCCATTAGGATTGGACACTTTCATAGATTTCTTTGTATCAGTTGCTTCCTCTATTTTGCTTTAGATGCTCATATTACTAGTATATTCTGAGAGGATCCATGCCAGTTACTTAGCATCATTTCCACTTTGGTTCTAAATACTGTATGCATCCATTTCAATAACATGGGGAATAGATTCTTAACTGATTTAAAAATCAGAGGTTTTGATTTAGTTTTAATTATGCAGGCTGTATTATGTTCAAGATTTTTTCTGCTTGGTTTTAAGATGCAACATAATATATCCAATCTTTCCAGGTAGAAGAGAAGGCTGATGTGCTTAACCCTTTAATCACTGGAGTGTTTTTGGAGGTCAGTTATATATGCAAATGATTGTGAGGGATGGGACTTAGATTCTGAAAAACCATTTAGAAATGGAGGGATCTGGCCTGATACAGCTGTGAAGCTAGAATCTGGTTCATATTACCTGTTTCTGAACTTTTATTGTGCAGAGAGTAGGGGAGTGCATAAAATGGCAAATGTGTTGGGGTGGGTTTTTTTTTTTTTGCTCAGGACAAAACAATTCTGCCAAGTTGGGATGAACAAGCTGAACAAATAAAGCATTTGGAACATGCACACTGCTTTGAGTTCATAACCCTTGAAACAGCTCAGGTCAGAATGGTCCACTTCAGAATTCTCTTCTGTGGTCAAAACAATTAGTTTTTGGTGCATAAAACAGCCAAGTTTTATTCTGAGCTCAGACAAACAAATCTCTTGGAACATGTGATCTGGACTTTTTGCTCAAACATTCAAAATGGCTGTTCACATTTCACAGCTGTTCACAGTTGAAGCACTTTGCAATATTCCTACAAAAATGTGATAGTGTCACATGATGTATTGCCCTAGATAATAAGGGTTATGAGCAATTTAGAGATTTTATGCAAAGGACCTTGGCTAGGGCTTCAAAACATAACCTTATCTTCATAGCATAACCTTGTATAGGCTAAATATATAACTATGAACATTAGTATCACATTCCCCAGTCTCCATCTAACTGACAAAATAGATAAATTGTGTGAATTAATTCCCATAGATTAGAACAAAACTGAAAGAGTGCAAAAATGTTTTAAAAAACAGATGGGTGAGTAGGTACAGCTTTAAATGAAGAATGGGCTACAATTTGTGCATGTAATACGCCTATGTTCCAATCAAGTTGCTTATATACCTTTTCTTGAATATTTATTTCACTAAAACAATTAATTAGAGAAGCCAAGTGAAATGCTGAACAAATTCTAATCTTTAGATTGTACAGGTGTTCTTTATTCATATGACTAGCTTTTTCATTCTCTTTTATAGGCTTCCAACAGTGCCTCTTATATCCAAGATGCCTTCCAGCTACTTTTGCCAGTGCTGCAGATCTCTCATATCCAGGCTCAGACAGAGTTATCTCAGCAATAAATCAAGTCTGACTAAACTGGAACATCACTTCCAATCTACCTGAATGAAAGTTCCCTGGTTCCATAAGAAGATGAAAGCATCTTAATGCAAATACAAATTAAGACAAATGCATTGACTTGTGGTTTGTCACTGACCAGAATAAGATGCTGAAAGGCCATGACGTAGCCACCTACATAGGTAGACAAGATGTCCTATAGAGTCCATAGGAAGTTTGTAATGTGACTTACTTTGTCATTTTGCTGGATAATGTTCTATCTACTTCTGCTCCTTAGACCTCCTGTGTTAAGCTCCTTGAGATGAGCATTATGAAGGAAAGACACGAGGTGCAAGGGATGCATAGCAGAACAATGTTCATGGATTGAGACCTTAGAGAGATTATTGGAGTCAGTAACTGCAGCAAATTGTATCATACTCACATTAAAAGCTATTTTAAGTAAAGTGCCTAGCACTCCAAAGAGATACTGAGAAAATAAGATTTGTTTTAAGTCATGTGAGTGATTTTTCAATTGTCCATTCTATGACCTGCAGATCCCAAAAGAAAAAAAAAACTAAAAAAACTGCTAAGATTGCAGCTCTCTATGTTATTGAAAGGGGAAATGGCCTATTTATACCTCTTAACTGGCTCCCCGGTAAGCCTGTATTTGAGTATACTTAAAGTGTGTAAAGTTTTTAAACAAATTAATTATCTGACCTTTTATTAAAGTATCCTCTCTATTAGTGCTAGTTTGGAGATAGATTTGGTATATTTTTTAAAAAAACTTTTATGTAATAGCATTTGATGTTTAGATGAACACATTTTGATAGACCTCCCTCAGCCAATAGATTTTCAGCATCCTACTTGTCTAGCAGAAAATAAAAGTAGCCAAGAAGGAGTTGACTCCATTTGGAAAAAAAAAAATAGGACTTTTGATGAACAAAGCTAACAAAGGGAAGTCCACAAATTGGATGCAGCATCTTGTTTTCCCATTTCAAGACTCTGAATACTTCTGTGAAAATAATTTTTCAGGGTTCTGGGATCTCTGCCTGAACTCCCAAATTGTGACTTAATACTTTTTGTCGTAACTCCAAAGACTTTAGGATACAATTACCCTTTTGTCCTTTTGTACAATTGTTACTTTGCACAATTTTGTCTTGTACCATTATGTATAAGTTTATTTACTTGTTCCTTCCTAGAATCCAAGTTCTCCTCAGGGGAATTCTACTAAGTTTTAGTTTTTCAACAAGCAGCTTGCTATGATTACAGTGATTTAAACACCACTTCAGCAAAGAAAAAGGAATTAAGATGAATTGCAACTTGTTTTGTTTTAGTGAATGTCCTTGCTGTTGCCTTTATCAGCATGTCTTCGTTTTAACTGCAGTTCGAAATTTCAATCTGGTTGCTTGTTGGTCTTGCAGTTACTAAATCATTTTATTGCCATATTATGGCATTAGCAAGGACAATGCACTTATGCGTGTATGTGTGTGTGTGTGTGTGTGTGTGTGTGTGTGTATATATATATATATATATATATATATATATATATAT